ACAAAACAAAACAAAACAAAACAAAACAAAACAAAACAAAACAAAACAAAACAAAACGATAATCAACATTGAGCCCTTTTTTAAATTTCCAAAAGTCAAAAGGCCACTATTATGATATTGCATTCAAAAACAGCTCTGGGAAAACCTAAATGGTGATATACAAATTTCAAAAATGAATAAATAAAAACAGAGCAGAAAACAAAAATGGTGTTGCTTTTGATATTCAGAGATTGGTTTTAAGTTTGAGTTATAAAGATTTAAAACACAAATTTTGGCCATGTGCAACTTACCTTCCAATTGATAATATATTTAGTACATTAAGCTGTGAGGCGTCTATACAAAATGCAAACCTGAAATACATCCCCTTCCAAATTCATGCTCCCAGTAGGCTACTATAACTTTAGCCTACTGGCTTACTTCATGGAATTACAAAGCCAGAACTAAAGGCAACACAGAGGTTTTAAAGTTTTATTCTACCTTCACATTTTCAAATGTTACAGGACATGTAGATGATGCTCGGATTCCCAGCTTATCTTCCTTCTTTCCTACATGTAGGCCATCTGTATTACGGTCTACTATGAAACACGTAATTCCTTTATAGCCCTAAGAAAGAAAGGCATATAATACATTAACCATGTTGGTGAGCACATACCACATTAATATATTCCAAGCCTAGCAAAATATTTCAATTCCTTCATACTGTAGGATACTCAAGTTCCATTCATCCTTCTTTAAGCGTCCGTAACTGGGGATCACTTTTCCTACAGAGGTGGTCCAACTGCAATGTTCTGCCTGCCATAATGTTACATTTTGTATCAAGACTGACATGGCTTCTCTACGCAAGAGCACCCAGTTTAATATAGTAATAGTGCCTGGTTTGGCAGCACAATGTCCATATCGTATCACTTCTAGATTGCTTGTATAGATACACATACACACCCCAAATGAAATAAAAAGCTACCAAATTTTGTGAGATTTCAATGTAAATTGAGCATGGATGACCTCAGCAAGGAATCTGAAATTATCTAAGATTTTAGTTTCTCAAATGAAATTCAAGGGGAATGGTCACCAAAATCTCATGAGATTTGGCACTTTTATGAAACTTCAGCTGTATTGAATATGTTGTCACTTTACAGTACAAGATCTGCAAAATGGTACTTGACTCATGCCCTTGTGACCTCCCATCTGGATTACTGCAATGCTCTCTACATGGGGCTGCCCTTAAAGAGCATTTGGAAGCTTCAACTGGCACAGAATGGAGCTGGATGGGTAGTAAATCATCTTGGGCACTTGGCACATGTAATACCGCTGCTTCATGAGCTGTATTGGTTGCCAGTGTTTCTGGGTGCAATTCAAGGTGCTGGTTGTCACCTTTCAAGCCCTTCAAGGCTTGAGGCTGGGTTACCTGACAGACTGTCTTCTCCCAGTTGTTTCTACCCATCCAATCTGGTCAAGCAGGATGGGCATTCTCCGGGTCCCATCAACCAAGGAATGTCAGCTGGTGGGGACTAGGAGGCATGCTTTTTCTGCCATAGCCTCTGCCCTCTGGAACATTCTCCTCCAGAGATTAGGATGGCCACGACCCTGTGGGCCTTTCTTAAGGCCTTGAAGATCTGGCTTTGTGCCTGGGCCAGGAGCCCTGTGTATGTTAAGGGCCTCATTTCCTGGTTATGTTAACATCTATGGATTACAATTTTCTCAGCTGCTGTATGTATATATTTGTATTGTATTGTATTGTATTGTATTGTATTGTATTGTATTGTATTGTATTGTA